TTGGGAGGTGAATCTGTGAAGTACAGTGGTGCCTTTAAATATCTTGGCGTTATTTTGGACAGCAGCCTTTCGATGAATCAGCATATCGATCATGTAAACTAAGAAGAAAGTTTCTAAGATGTTGGGGATTCTCTCAAGAGCACGGCCATCATTAACAATCGAATCTGCGAATAGACTGTTTAAATCGATGATACTCCCAGTCCTGGATTACTGCAGTGGCTGCAGTGGTGTCTTCCATAGATGTGGCAAAGGAAATGAAGAGGGTTTAGAATGTCTACAACCGCCTACCGGTTAGCTTTAACCACCTACCGGTTAGCTCAATGGATAGAGCGCTGGACTGTTGTGCGGGAGGTCGAGGGTTCGAGCCCCGGCCGGACCAACACTCAAGGTCTTAAAATAACTGAGAAGAATATGCTTCCTTTCTGTAACATCAAGAAATGGTTAGATATTCTAGTCTTCTCGGATAGGGACGAATAAATGGAGGTCCCGTCTCCTGCAGGGTTAGGGGTAGGAGACGTTAATTTCCCACGCACGAGTATACTGTGTGATGGATGTCCTCCCCTGGGGTGGGTTGGGTGGCTGCTTACAGGGCCGTTCTGAAAACCACTTCTGTGAGAACGCACCCTGTCTAAAGATTATTATCTATCTATCTATCTATCTATCTATCTATCTATCTATCTAATAGTACTGAATAATGCCTATTTATCCACCGAACAGATGTTTACAAGCCTTGGTTGGGAAACTCTTGTTAAAAGAAGAGAAATCCACATCATTAATCTGGTAGAAAAGTGCCTTGAGGACTAGCTCCAAGTTATTTTACTAAATATTTTCAATCTAAAGGACATGATATTCATGATTATAATATTAGGAATAAGGACAGATTAGATACTGACAGGGTTAAATTAGAATCAACCAAAAGAGAATTTTTTTTATAAAGGGGCCTATATATATAATGATTACCTATGAATCTAGTTCTAGTCTTCCTATCTCTTTTTATATATATGTTCTTAGATTGTGTATGTGGCTTCTGTGACTTTTACAAACTTTTTTTTTTCCGCAGGACCCATGTTGATAGTAGCTTTTTATAACTGGATTGGTTATCCTGCATAAATATGTTATTATTATTATTATTATTATTATTATTATAATTATTATTATTAATGTAATTTACTTTTATAAGGATAATTTCGATGCACGTGTTTTTTGAAAACTGCTTTCAATATATTTTCAATATATATTAACTAGTAGTTGCTTTCGCGATTTTTATATGTAGGTCGTTTTTGTTATCAAAGTTAGTTTGGGTCTGATACGAGTCTAATCCAAGAGAACCGAATTTAATAAATGTATCAACTAATGTGTCAACTAATGTCAACTAATTTGGAAATGTCAACTAATTTGGAAATGTACGAGAAAAAAAAACTATTACCCACGCGAATTATTATTATTATTATTATTATTATTATTATTATTATTATTATCGAGCAATTGTTGTTCAGTATAAGATGACAACAGCAATGCAGAAAACGTCTTTCCTCAAATATTGAAGTTACACTCCATATCTAGGTAGAGCTAGAGTGGCAGACGTTGCCAATGTACGCCACATCCACATGCCGCCCGTAATCCTTTTTAATCACGAATCTCAGTTTAACATTGCACTCTGGATACTTGCACTCAGCCCCTCCCCTGAAAAACACGGACGAGTGCATCTTGCGCGAGTTCTCTGATCTCACGTGATTATTCTTGAAGCGCAAACTGCACCATGGGTTGCTTTCCTTCACTTTGTTGAGGAATATGCGAGTCCAGTCCCCGCTCAGTAGACGGCCGCCGCTTGGAAATGTCTTGATTGGCATCTTGGCCCAATCTTCCTCCGTCAGCCTGAATCTCGCAGTCGTGCCGTCTATGTTCACACGAAAGAACATTTCTTGTAACTCCTCATCATCTTTCTCTTCTTCAGAATGATCGGAGTCCTAAATCAAACAAAAAATAATTTGATTACTCTTTTGATTGCTTAAAAAACAACTTTCGAAAACTGCACTTGCACCGAGATCTTTCTGAGTTTTCTCTTGTCATCGATGAATCATGAAAAGCTGGCCTAAGGTGGAAGGCGGGGGGGGGATCGTCTAAAAGAAGATTAAAACCTTGTACCTAGCTGCAGAACGAAAGCTGACTTTCGTATGGGAATTTCACATGAAAAATTTTCTAAAAAGAGGAGAAAAGACGGTAGATTCAATGAGTTGTTAAAACTAAAGCCAGTGGTATTCAGGACTACTTAGACAAGGCGATTAAAAATTCGCCATCATACAATTGAAAATTTGTATTACGTTTTCCAGTGGTCTTTTTCTCGATGATGGCCATGTCTGATTTCCTCCTGCACAGTGTTTAGACGTTTCTTTTGTCTCCTGGACCTGATTGTGAATAAAAATAAAATATAAATTAAAATCCTTCAGCTCCTAATTTTCAATATGGTGGCCGAAGGCTATCCCATCACTCTTTCTACTGATTCTCAAAATGTACAGGTGTCAGCGGACTACACCTGAATCGCATCAGCTGATCTCGCACCCGCCTGTTTGAGTGGAGACAGAGTAGAAAATGTGGCTGAACCGTACCTCCTCTCCCTTTAACCACACCTTGTGCAGTGAAATTTTCGTCTTTCATCGTAAGTTAGTAGGCATGGTTGTATTTTAAGAAACATTACCTACGTAAGTCAAAGGTTTACCTGATTGACACCATAAGAAACATGACGCAACAGCGCAGACAGCCGAGTCAACTGATTAAAACTCCAACTTGCGAACTCAATCGTGGGAAAATGCTTTTAGTTCAAAACGATACAGACTTGCTAACGCTTGATGCTGAATTAAATATGTTTTGCAATGAGCAGGGTTATACTGTCTACAATTGATACTTTAACTAACCCTACCTCACTCTCTTGCGTAAGCATGATGACCGATGTTCGTGTGTTTTGTGTGCCAGGGGTTGTTGGAGATAATGCCGGTTGTGGCCGGCTCGCTACAACACAGTGGCAACGAGGACAAGTCGCGATGAATCCTCTCCCGTTGATAGTTGTTTCTTGAGAAGTTAAGGGAAGATATTCGGATCGAATCCTTCCATCGGAGCTTGTTTGGTTAATGAAATTGCTCCCTCCTTTATTTGCTTTCTCGTATGCTTGGCTGGTTAATTCTCGTTGGAGCTTAGCGTGGTAGAGTGGTGCCCCATCTGGCAAACTAACTTTTTTTTTAAACGAAGTACCGGCTTTGCTGCATGTCTGATTAAGTGGAAAGCTCTGTCTGGGTTGAATGAACTGTGAGTTTTCTCTTTGTGTCTCCTGATGAAAATTCCTTTCCTCACCATCGTTATTTTCTCGAATGAGATAAACCATGGTAGCACGTACCTCCTCAGGACTTTTCATTTGATCCGATTGAATGCCGCCCAGATATTCTTCTCTAGGATAAGTCGTATGAGAAGACATTGTTCCATTTGGATCCTTCTCCCTTGAATTACCCACACGGTAGGGATCTACATCCCTGGGGATGTCCATGGCGTTAGTTGGAATGCCCTTGGAATCCATTTCATTCGAATCAACTGAGAGGTGATTAGGAATCATATTGGTAGAACTTGTTGGACGAGAATGAAAGGCATTTTCACCAGGTGGCCGTATGGGAATGTCTCTGGGAATATCCATAACGTAAGATGAGATACCCATAAGATTTGTTTCCCTTGGATCAACTATGTGGTGGTATGAATTCATTTTCGTAGAAGTTGTTGGAAGAGACTGAAGAAGATTATCTATTTGTGAACTTAAGCCCACTGCATACGGCTGCATCCTATCTTGAATATCCGTTGGGCTTAACGTTGCTTCCCAGGGGGTGCTCTTAGTACAACTTGAAGGTGACATTTGGTTTGCAGCTGTGCTTCTGTGGGGCACTGATCCACGAAATCTTATTCCACTTTTGAAACTATCCAAGTAGCGTGGTTCTTCTGGTCGACAAGATTGTAATGCCTTTCCAAAATTGCCTCCAGAAGTTTGCATCTCACCTTGAATTTCCGCTCCATGTGAATTTGAAGATTCATCAAGGGTCCAAACTTGATGAGGCGTTGCTGTATTTAAGTAAAACTCCATTTTCAAACGAGATGATGTTTTAAGTCGACATCTATCGGCGGAAACGGGTTGGGTTAAAATGTCTATCTGCTTTGGTAACTAACAACGTGACACTCTTCGTCAAACAAGTTCGGTAGGATGTCTGCAGTTTGAATTTCCTGTTTTTACATCATAACGAAAATGTGGCGTGAAATAAAAGTTTGTCAGCTGAACTGGTTCTCGATAGTGTCAGCCTTTTTCACAAGGTGGCGCCAGAGGAAATCTAAAACAGAAACGAAGACCAAACTCAAGTCACAGTTGGTTCGAATGCCGCCGAGGCGCAATCAGTGTGCCAGACTTAATTTGATAAAGTTAGACTTTGAACGACAATGAATTCAAATCAAATTTCCATAAGTTCAGGTTTCCAAGGTCGACTGAGGACAAATGCTAATCAAAATAGAAATTGAAGCAGACAATGTAGCAGAGCATGCAAATGAGCAAATCAAAATAGATAGTAAAAGGCAAATATTTATCGTCTGGAATCCGGCCAGCCCTGTGGCAGTCTTTTCCACAATGGGCCGATACTATCGGCCCGATAGTCTGGCTGTAGCCCACCGTCCGTGAACAGAGTAAATTTTGTTGGGATTTTTTTAAATGCCAACTCGAATAATACTTAGCTTCAATTGAAGTATTTGATGAACGCGAATGATGAGTTAAAGATTGATTTCAAGACTACAACAGCCGATGATTCAATTTATACAGATCTTTTAACCAAAGATAAGTGTGGCATGAAATTTTCTCTAGAATTAGCTTTCCATCAAAAATTCAGGCGGCGTTATTTTGAAATGGAACTAGATGTTCAATTTACAAAGGAATGTGTAGCAGCTGGAAAGGAGAATGCCACCTAAGAACTCGGAGGCTATGGCGATAACAGGGTTTGCATCCACACCCCCAAGGCTTCAGCCGAGCTACCTTGAGCAAGAAAACAAGAAATCTCTCTGGCATACTCACGTTTGATCACCAGGGGAGTATTTGAAGAAATTCTAAGGAGGAGTACATCAGCGAAGCCTTGAAACCCTGATCCTATCTAACACACGATCTTTTACTTTCCCTACTCAATCTAATGCCAGCATTTCAGGGAGAATATTGAAACATACTGGTAACAAGATTATACAAATTGGTGCCACACATGAAGACTTGACATTGCCAAGGCCTGCATCTTTTCTGCAAGGCTTTAAAAACAGAAAGATCCCTTGTTCACGAGGCTACACAGTAAAATTGTATGCCTTTTTTAAAATTCGAGACCCAAAAAATCTTCCACTTTTTGAGAAGTTTACCCGTTCAGCTCCACTCTCCCCTCCCTCACCGTCCGAATCGCCGGGCGACTACATCTGTTATTGTCGAATGTCAAAACAGCCCGAGGCTAAAAATAAATCAATTGCGAGACTAGAAGATTCTGAGTCAAAACAAAACCAAACAATCTAAAGAGCGCCGCGTAGCAAACTTCCGGTTTTGCAATTCAGACCATCCAATTCATCACTGGCACCGGAAGTTTTCATAGATTACGAAGAAACAGCTGTGACGCGTGCTCTTAGTAATTTCATCTCGTGTGATTGAATTGAATTAAAATCAGCACCTCTGAGGCGAAAATTACCGTAGTTTGTTTTAATATGAATTTGCATAAAATGCTACTTCCTTCAAGAATGGTTGTTTTAAAGTAGTTTTTGTTTGTTTTCTGTTAAATAAAGCAGGCTGATGTCTCGACCTGTCACGGCGGGCACTTTTAGAGGCTGTTAACTTGTATTTACCGTTACGATGAGTTATTACATGGTAAGGAATGATGCATGCACAAACCTCGTGATTTCAGCCGATTTTGTTAAATGCCAATACTGCACAAATGCTTGTTGTATTGGAGTGTTAAAACATGTAAACGATTCCCGGTTGCTGTTCAGACCATCTGATTCTTAGTATTTATAACCCTGTTTAAGAAAGTACCTCTGGGCAAGTGAAATTCCACGCGTATGCAGCGAACATGCATTTAACTCATCAACCTGTGCCAGCAAAGATCGGCTGAACGCATCAGTGACCATGTGCAATCTTATGTAAATCCTTCTTGTCTTACCAGCACCCACCAGCGTTCGATATCCTTTAGCCAGTTCTTGTCCTAATTAAATTACCGCTTTAAAGCTGATTCCACACAAGGGGTAGGGAGAAGGGATTATAAACACAGACGTCTGATACGTCTACAAAACAAAATAATTTGAATGCAGTCGCCGTAGAGTCTGGGGTCTTAAGAAGGAAGATGGGTCAAGATCAAGAGAGCGACATCTTTGCACATACTCACGTGACATTGCTGCACTGCACGAAGTTTACACGTGCACGCGAGGCGGCAGTGTTCGTGCTGCACTCGTCTAAAAGGTTAAAACTCTCATAAACCTCTTCACTGTCACTCACCCTCTTGCGATTCTCGAAAATTGTCTCTATCTCTGGATAATTCTATTACCTCCTCCCCCCGATTTCTATCAACCATTGCCTGCGTGTCTGTGGCTCAGCACTGTATCCACTGTTACGACTTCACAATTAGCTTTTATTCAGTGGTCATTTACATAATCTCCCTTAACGACAAACTGTTACATGGAAAGAATTTAAACACGCAGAACGCTCGTGATTTTACCCGTTGTTGTTAATGTCTGTACAGCATGAACCCTTCTACTTATTTTAACATGTTAATAAATTTAATCGATTCCTGGTTGCGGTGTATTAAATCATCTGATTCTGAGTCAATGCAATCTAGTTAATGAATCTACCCCTGATTTGAAAAATTTTCACGAGCGTGTGGCGAACAGTCTCGTCTAGTATCTGCGTCGAAATCATTAATCTGTGTTCGCAAAGATCGGCTTTAGTGCCTTTGTAATATGTATCCTTTCTGTGTTACTAGCACTTACCAACATTCGACAACTTTTCTTTTGCTAGTTCTTGCTAATTAAAGCTGATTCCTTGAGAGGAATAGGGGATAATGGGAAACCTTAACTGTGAATCTACAAAACGAGATAACTAATATCCAGTCACTTTATATGACGTCTTATGAAAGAAAGTTAGTCAGGATCTAAAGGTCGACCCACTACAGGACGTACTAGATCTGACTCGCACGTGCGCACGTGACACAGTTGTGTTGCTAGAAATTTGTCACGTGCGCGTAAGACAACTCTTCGTGTTCTCGAAGGTAAATCCGCTAGGAGAAGCTCCTTGGCCGTTTCCCTCTCTACTGTTTCTATTGGTAATTGTCTGTGTTTCTTAGTCCAACTTAACCGCTCAAGGGGGAGGGGTAGGGGGTATTATTGCTATGGGCTTCAACAGTGCTCCCTGTGTTTCTCTCTCCCCAAGCTGCGCCTTTATTAAGCCCTTGGACAGACCCTCTTTGAAATTTTCATCCAGACTAGGTTAACCAGATGTTTCTTACTTCTAGACCTGTCAGACAGTCACCCAATCTGAAGGAAGGCAAATGCTTATGGGAAATACCGGATGAAACAACATTGAAAAATAAAACAGATGACATAACAATTACTTATTTCAATTAATACTACATGATGTGCCAAGTCTGATCGAGTCTGATCTAATTAGCTCTTAGGGCCAGAAAAAGAAAATCCCGCACTTCTGACATTTAGCACGAAATTGATGTCTAGCTTTCCTTGGACTTCAATCAGTTGGACAATAAGCAACAAAAAGTTGGTTTCTTGGAAGTTAAATCTGTTTTGTTTTCTTTACCTTGAGTATTATCCAGCAAGGTGGGTTATTTGAACCTTTTTTTTAAATCAGCTCACATACAATAAAAACTCACATTTGAGAAACCCATCTTGGAAAATGCTAATTGTTATTCACCAATAAAGAACCTTGCAGTCTGCTTTCTCAAGAGACTTCCAAACTTCACGAACCACTTAAAAAAAGTGTTTATCACTTTGCAACTTCCCCCAGTGCATGAGAGTTTGAGCTGAATTTCTGTAGAAGTTGAAGTAGGTAAACCAGTTTTGCAGCTAAGGATTTACCGCTTCACCTGCAGCTAAATGAACAAACCATATATACCTCACACCAGCATTTACAACATAGTTTAATACAAAAATTGAAAATATGTTTTTGCCCGGTTATACTAAAACTGGAAGAGGAAAACATTGTTCACATGTAATATCAAGTAAATTGAAAGATCGAAAATAAACAGTGACAATAACAACAACAAAAACAACAACAACAAAGAAATAAGTGAAAAATAAAAAAAACTAGCTTCTTCCTGACTGAGTGTGAGGGCTGTACTAAGGAGGAATATTAGCCTGAATATTGGTCAAAATTGACCAAGAATCAATTACTGGAGGAAGCAAGGATAGTAAGTAGTTTAATAAATAGCACTTGGACCAAACTTGTTTATTTTGAATGTGCCAGCTTTTGCAACCAAAAATACATGGCTAATGACCGTTTCCCTGGAGATAGTCTGTATGGTAAAATATCAACCAAGTAAAAACCAATCAGCTTGCTTGGATTTACCTCTGAACTACATTGCCATATTGTGATTAGTAACCTCGTCACTGAAAATAACAAGTGGATAAACTGGATTCCCTGCTGGGCAGGTGTTAAGGTCTCCTACATGATCAGGACTCAACACTAACTTTTCAACTTAGATGTTATGACAATGTCAGTTTGTTTACTAGCCACACTGGCTAGTGGAAATTGAAAACCATTAGCCAAAGCTGAATTTCTACTAGTCTGTGGCCAGTGGGCTATCATTAGTACTGAGCCCTGATGATAACAACTACGGCGATGTAAATACATATCAAATAATTAGTCCTGCGCCAAAGAGCCTTACTCTTTAAAATACAAATACAAAGTAAAAAAATTTTTTTCAAGCAGCAGGTTTACTTTTAATTATTGATAACATGTTCAATATATGCTGTAGAAGGAACTCTCGATTTATAAACAAATCAGTTCTTTTGGAAAATGCCTTTTGGGCATTTTAAAGACCTACCTATATTCCCGCTATTGTCTTTAAGAAGTGCTAACCAGCTGTGTAAAAATTCTCAAACAACCACAAAATTTACTCTTCCTTACGAAAACATCAAAAAAATATTAAAACCCCAATGCTTTCTTCCATGCAAAACAACACTGTTCTTGAGGTGAATTAAAGCAACATGATAACCCTATAATTGGAGCCATAACAGAAACCTAGACTCCACGAAACAACAGATTACAGATCTCACCGCACTTGCAACCAACATCTAAATCTCATTTTACAAAAAAGCTAATAAAGAAGGCAAAAGAGACTCCATTCTTTTTGTTCCAATTCTTCCACCAAAAAGTATCAAGCCCAAACTTGGAAAATTGGATGTCACTAAACAAATTTTAAAAATATTATTCCCTAAAATTGAAAACAATTCTTGTTTACTTTTTCTCACAGCTGAACAAATTGCGAGAAAAAAAAAACAAAAGAACAGAATTTTCATACAACTAAAGGTGGTTGTAAGACACAAGTACAGTGGAACCCCAATATAACGATATGCCAAGGGAGCAGTGGAATTCGATTGTTGTATCAAGTTATCATTATATCGAGACGGGGCTCTGTCCCATACATTTTACTGTAACTTTTGCTGGGACATAGCATATTTATCGTTGTACTGGGAATATCGTTATATCAAGGATCGTTGTATCGGGGTTCCACTGTAGATGTGAGTATACATGCATGTAGACACTTCAACCCCCTGCTTATTATTACCTCTTGTTAGGACACTTTGTCACCCATATCAGGGACTGAGGATAAACGTCACCCCCATGCATCTGTTCCCAAAAGTAGTGCACATGTCACATTTGTAACCACTGTGGTTCAAATTTATCTTCAGGACACAATGGCCTGATGGCTGCCTTGCAGAACTCTACATGAAAAGTGTAAATTCAAAGTCACAGTCCTGTGTTCTTGGAGAAGAAAATTCTTAATCCATCACAGTAATAAATGGGTATGAGAAAATTATCACAGTGATCATTTTAAAATGCTGAGGGGTGTGGACGAGTGAGCTTGTGGTAACCTAGAAACCCATCCGGGGAAAGTAATAAATAACTGCTCCTTGTTGCTATATAAGCTGCAGAAACTGACATTGTGGCTTATTCAGTCTGCACCTTGTCTCTTTAAGTTTCTCTAAAGTATCAGTGAGTATGTAATGAAGTAGGAATAAACCAAAGACAAAACTAAACCACATCACAGCCATACCTAATTCTATTTTATGCATGAAACTCTCCGCATGCACTTCACTTCAGCCTGCAGCAAGGAATGCTGCTTGCTTAACAAAGCCCATGGACAAGTGAATGACTATGTTTATCAATCAAGATTCCCATGAAATTACAGCACAGCTAGCTACATTCAGTGATGTTCTATCAAAACATACAAAGGTTAAGCTTTAAACACATGCACAATCCTGGAAATATGCTGTCGACAAATTGGACAGTCTGAGATCTGCTTGCCACAGTTTGTACAAGTGACCATGTGACCACACTCCAGTAGAACACAATCTATTCCATTATCCATACAAATCTTACACTGATCGTCATTATCATAATCATCAGGTGCCACTGTACGTGAAAAAAAAAGGAGGAAACAAAGCAATAAGGAAAATATATCCTAAAGCTGACATACTTGACTTTGGAGCTGCTGCACAGAAACTGCAGCCCCAAATTATTTATATTCTTTTAGCAAGCATTTCCTCAGCCTAATGTCTGCTGGTATTGGGAAAAATGTACCATCTGTGCCCTTGAAGACCTCAAGCACAGTTAAATAATAATAGATAATAGAAAATAAAAATAAAATAAAATAAAAAAAATAAATAATAATATAAAAAAAAATAATAATATAAAAAAAATAATAATATAAAAAAAAATAATATAAAAAAATAATAATAATA